TTCAATTCAACTAAGATATCCGAATACGTCGCATCTTTTATTCTAAAAGTAAAAATGTCAATTTGCGAAATAGAAGCGTAAGTGTTTTCGAAAGGTTAATGGCGTGGCAGATGTGAAAGTTAAATTCACCAACTCAATACAAACAGTCAAAAGTGTTATTGTCAATGTCAAAGACAGAAGATGTTGAAAGTGGGGAAAACCATACGAAAGACGAAAGATGGTATAACAATCTGTTCCTGTAAAAGAACAACCAACATATCCTGAAGTTAGCAGAGACTAAGTTCTGTTGCAAGATATATCGAAATGACTACCAACAACTGAAGACAAACTTCAATTAAATCAGGAGAAGATTTGTCAAAGCTTTAAGTATAATGTTAAACTTTGGTCGAACACAAACCCTGTAAAAAGTGAACTCCTATGTCTTGCAACCTCATAAGTTTTGAAAAACTATTGAAACTTTACAGAGCAGCAGACGAATATAAACATCAAAGAAATAGAAGAACCCGACATTAGTTGCTGTGTGTTCAGTATAATGTTCATTAGACAAAGATATACGTTATGAAAGGAAGGTAAAACGTTGTAACTTAAATATATGTTTCCACAGACGTTATAAAAATATTTTGACGACCACAACATTCATTAAAGTTATTTGCTAAGAAACAATGGCAAAACTCTTGAAAGATGTTTGAAGAAAAAGTAATATAGACTTTATTTCATGTAAAGGACTTTAAACACTTATTGAACGATAGAAGCCCCTGTTGTTGTGTTCGTGTAGACAAAGGAAAGTATCTATGTCTTTACAAAATATTTGAACTTCTTAGACAGAGAACTTCAAGAAACGCCATGTGAAAGTTTATATGAAGTTCTCTCCACTTTCAGAAAAACTTCTTAAATATATTATAAATTGGCAGAAGGACAAATGGTTTAATACTATTACGACTAAAAACCTGAGTCATATCATTCTATAACAACAAAACTTACAAATCCCAAGGACGATATTGAAACTAACCTTAATCACACAATGGACGACAAAGCCTGTTTTGCTCTTTTGACACAGAAGACTTTATTGTTGTGTCAATTGCTAAAAAATATCATCCTTGAAGATCATACTTAACAGATATCTAAACCACCAACAAGGTTTTTGTTACTTATTAAATACTTTAATGTACGGCTGTAACATGTTGCTGGCAAACTAGAGCAAGGTTTCATTATGTTTATCTCCGACTGAGTTTTACTATAAACAATGAGCTATAATACAAAAAACTTATGTTCTGGTTTTACTACCAACAGTTTTCCTATAAAAAGAGAAAAGGTTGTCATACAAGAATGCTTATCCATTGACATTAAGCACACCAATCTTATATATTGTTTCAAACTTAGGTTCAAAGTTATATCGAATGTCGACAGAAACTATTATGACCAAAAGTATACCTTTAATTGCGTATAACATACTTTCGTCCTGCTGGTTGCCCTATTGTTCCATTCGAATCAGAATTTTCAACCTTAGTGAACTCAAACACTTTGGCAAGTATAACGTTGACCATTTAGTGACGCAAATTGTTCCTGTAAAACTTTATGTCCTATTATATTGTCAATGGACGGCAGAAAGTTCGATTGGAAGATGCAACTGGAAAAGTATTGTATTACAAGAACAACTTCAACAAACAAATAGCTTCAAGAACAAACAATGCAACAAATGGAACAACAAAGTCAAGAATAAAAAAATAATATTTTTTTTATTTTATAAAAAGTACAGAATAGATGTTTCAGATTTTTATGCTTCCAAGCATTCAGAAATATGTGTCTCATTTCGAGGACTATAACAAAGCAGTCGAGATTTGAAACGTTTAGTCATTATGTCGACTCTGCCCCAGAATTTATGTTATGAAATGAATGGATGTTGTTCTTTAACAAACTAAAGCGACAATAGTTTCAGAACAAGAATGCTAGACCAGAATTAAAAATAAAATCGTACAAGTGCATGAAGATGTTAGATGCTTTGGATATCTTTATTGTCAAGTTAGAAGATTTTCAGTTCGAGTATAAAGTTCTATACACCTTCTCCAAACTCTATTCTATCTTCACTGATATAAATACGAACAAGTAGAAGGAAAGAAAATATCTATAGAAGCTTGGTTTAGACCATGTCAAAGAATTATATGCAATTGGAAACGAAAAGGTTTATGAGTATATCTTATGTTGGTTTGCAAACATCTTACAACATCCAAGTGCTAAAATGAAACTGCTCTCATTATAATTGGAAAACAAGGAACTGGAGTAAGAACACATTCTTTACAGATATCTTATGCAAACTGTTGAAAGTTATTCGAACCCTAATATGACAAACTTGAAAACATCTGTGGCAAGTTTAACTCCTCAATAGAGAATATGAAAACTTATAGTTTGCAATGAACTTCAAAGTATAGATACAACAAAAGTTTGAACTCAGAGCTTTGAAGAGTCTTATAACAGACAAAGTTGGAGTTGTTGAAAGAAAGTATAAGACCAAAGAGTTGTGAAAATGTTTGCAAACTTCATTATGGGTTTCAACAATGCTGTTCCGATAAGTAGAAAGTTCTGACAGAAATATGTAGTTGTTCAGAACGTCAGATTCTCATATGCAAGATACAGAATATTTGACGACTAGCAGAAACTTTGACATCTGACTTTTCAACCACTTGTTCTCATATTTCATGACATTAGATATTCTTAAGTTCAATCCAAGACAAATTCCACATACCGAAGAGAGACAAAACATTGTTAAAAGCAAACAAGAGTGTATATGAACTGTTCATAGAAGAAAGGGACTTTGAGTTTTAGATGAAAAAGTCATTGTACGATTCTATAAACAATATTGTCAAATATGGTTATATGGCAGCGTCTAAACGTACATTCTTGGCAAATGTCAAAAGTCTTTTAGACGTACAGAATGGTGTATATAAAGAAAAAATTTCTGAGTAAATTTAAAAAAAATATTTTTTATCCGATAGAAAAGATGACGAAATTCATCTCAGTAAACAAGTACATGTAGGACTTAAAGAAGAACTAGGACCTCATTCACATATTTGAATGTTTACTTCTACCATTTTGGAAAGTCTTCATATTCAGCAAAGTTTGGTAACATCGAACCAGTTAAGTTTTGCTATTGTGGACTAAAATGGTGCGAAATTTGAAGACTTAGACATAGAAGGTTTGTTAACAGTCAAAGAAAGTTTTGACAGAAGGTTCTCAAACCTTAAAGAAGGCAAAGCATACCAAACTTGTTATACTTATGAACCAAAGAAGACAGACGACTATGAATATTATGAGTCTAAAGTTGTAGAAGTTCAAGGTAAATTGGGTAAAAAGATTTTAGAGTCTAAGCCAGTGTTTACTTCCTAAAGAGGAAGAGAACATTGACATTGACCCAGAAATGTTCTAAAATAAAAATTTATTTTTACATGTCAAATTTCTTTTTCTCTGGAAATGGTTCAGGTTCTTTCTTTCTCTTCTTCTACTTTCTTTTCTTTCTTTCTCTCTTTCTTCTTTCTGGGTGGAGTTATGTCAAATTTGGCGCAACCATATTTATGTAAAAGTTCTTTGTCCTTTAATAGCTCATCTATTTCTGTTTTCTATTTCATCTTCAAGAAACAGCGCATGTGTCTTGACTTGGCATTCTAAGAACTTTTGTTGGACTTCATCTTTCCAATCGGTTGTCATCTCTGTCAACAAGTCTGTCATTGACAAATTTAAGACTGCTCTGCTTAATGTTTTATGGTTCTTGTCATATTCCCAAAACAGAACTTTAGAACAAATTCCCCTTCTTGTTTACACTATGTAAATTTTATGGTCGACAGATGTTTTGCTGTCGAAAAGCTTGTCTCGAATATAGATAGCGAAATCGCTAGACATTTTCTAAAAGATAAAAAATTTTCAATTTTCTAAAAATATGTAGAAAAAAGTTTGCTGACATGACAAGAAATTGAGAATGTTTTAAATAAGAACAAGAGGAAGTTAGAAAATGCTCAGATAAAAGCCTATACATGACAAGTTCTTATTTGCTCAGAATGGTATAACAGGTCTAATTGCACCACCTGGGTCTGGTTAAGACTTTCACTTATTCTTAAAATGGCTGCACAACAACAAGATGAGAAGAACCCATTCTATATGAGTTAGTTGTTATTTGTAGTACTTCTGGTCAATTTGACCAAACCGTCAATTCGTTCAAAGATATTATAAAGAAGTTTAAGTTAGTATGTATAAAGGATACTGAGTTGTTAGATTGGATAAAGAAGTACCAAAGAAGAGTTTTGAAGTATAATGCTATAAATGAGTATGTCAATTCGAAGTTTAAAGACCCAAATGAGGAAATGCAGAGAATATTAGAGAAGAAACACTTCAGAAACAAACAGAAAGAGATAGAATACATTTCGAAGAAATTGCAATCTTACGATCGGAAGACTTACCCTCATAGATGTCTTCTTATCTTAGATGATTTCGCCTCTCATCCTTTGTTAAAGAATAGAGAACAAGATATGTGTCGAATTCTTAAGAAGCTCAGACACTTTAACATCTCAGTTGTCATTTGTGTACAGACAGCAAAGAGTTTAAGTGAGGATGTTAAAAGAATACTTACTGACATAATACTTTTCCCCGGATTGTCCGAAGACGATTTCATGGAACTTATGAAAGAGTCCATGGCAGGTAGTTTGACAGACATGAACTATGGGAGAAGTACAAAGTCATACAAGACCCTCATACTTCTTTCAGAATTCATATCTACGCAAACAAAGTTCAAATTGTAAAAAGTCAAGCTTGAAAATAAATGGTTCATCTACCCTACTTGTTTGAAGTTGTCAAAATACTCTGTTATTTTTTCCTTCAGTAGCGGTAAGTCTTCTTTGAAGGTAAGTATTGTACAACCTTTCATATCATAGTGTGTTTGAGGTAACGTATCTTGAACTATTTGTTTCACATCTTCATTTGGGGTCATTGAAATCGGTAAGTTTTCGCGATAGAACCAATTTCTGTCAGATTTGTAAATCTTAGCAAGGTCGTAAAAGCTTTTGTTGTTTCTTCTGACTAAATGCAACATAACCATATCTTTATCTTCTTCTTTCTCCATCTCTTCAGTATAAATCATATACTTATAGTTCTTTTCCTTTCCTTTTGGTACCGAACGTGGTATTCTTTTCTGAATGCTTTTGTCTTTTGCTTCAAGCTTGTTTTCCATCTCTTCACGTTCTTGTCTATGAATTTCGTCAAGAAGTCTGTAAATATACCAAGCATAACGAGGCGAAGCCCACATTGCAACAGCATTTACAAGAAGTCTATGTACATAATATCCTCTCAAACCGTTTGGCAATTTTTCACGATTTTCATAGAGTTTTGGCGACTGCGGTTTTTTACTTACTCGCTGTTCTTCACTGTTTTCAGAAAAAAGTATGTCTCGCTGTGCTTCGCTCAAAAGTTCTTGTGTGCTTTGGTTCCTAAACCAGTCTTGTGGTTTCTTAGTATCTGGAGCAAAACATGCTGTCAAAATACTTTGCATTTGGTACATATCGTCTTTGACCGAACGAATGAGACGGAGTTGTTTGTTAAACTGTATGTACTCGTATTCTTCATTTATAGCTTCATGGACTATAACTGTTGTTGTGTTCTCTGTTGTTGACATATCTGTCTTTACATACAAAATAAAAAAATAAATAAAAATAAAACTAACTTTATTTTTTCTATCTTAAGGAAATGTCAAAAATTCATGATTTTCGAGAGTTTTAGACCATGTTAGAAAAGTGGTTAGAAAACGTGTTAGATCTAACATTCTAACATAAACATTATTTTTTGGTCGTTTATGACAAAAATAATGAGTTCATTTACTCACAATATTTTTGTACAAAACGACCCCAAACTTTTAACTTCTTTTCTGCAGCTTCTAATGCTATCTTAGCGAGTTCATATTCTCTAAATTCTCTCTTTAAATCTTCTTGTTCCCATTGGTCTAGTTCGTATGGAGAGTCTCTATAACCATAATATATCTCACGTTCATGTTCTAATTGTTTTTCGCACATTTTTCTAACTTCTTCTTCAAACAAATGTTTAGTATTCTCTACTGTATCTTCGAGTTCTTCTTCATCTAATTTCTCATGAACTTTCTTGTCTATGGAGTCCATAATTTTTCCAACTGCTATGCAATATTTTGGAGAAGCCCACATTGCTATATAGTTTATAAGTCTTGGGTCTACATACGTTCCTCTAACCTGTTTGATTTCATCAGGAATTCCGGCATGAATTTTGTATAAAAAGCAACCGTCTGAATTCCGGCGGTTGCTATATTCTTCACAAAATGCCTTATAATACTCTTCCCAGGACTTATTTTCCAACAACTTTCTAAAGTCTTTCCTAAACTGCTGACACATATTTGTTGCATTAATGTAACTATCCTTGTCTCTACGTAAGACTTCAATACCATTATAAGTGCCTTTTGTGAATGTTTCGCCATTAGATTTGTTCGTGAACGTCTGTGCTTCGACTGACATTTCTGTTCTTACATACAAAATAAAAAAAATAAATAAAATAAAACTAACTTTATTTTTTCTATAGGGTGTCCAAAGGTGTGTTTAGCACAAACCTGAATACTGCGAATAGAAATAAACAAGTTACATATATATAAAGTTTATTTAAATATAATCACCATTGGATTCAATCACGCGTTCGCAGCGATCGATCCAGGCTTGAAAGACACGCTTTAAATCATCATGAGAAAATTGCTCAAATTGCTCTCTTACAAAATTTTCAAGATCATCTGGACTCGCGAATTCGCGTCCTTCAGCTCTCTTTTTTAGCGTGCCGAATAAATAAAAGTCAGAGGGTGCAATATCAGGTGAATAAATTGGGTTTGGAACAACTTTGACATTGTTTTCCACCAAGTAATTCATTACCTTATGACTTTTGTGAACTCTTGAATTATCAAAATGAATTGCAAACTTTTGTTTTTGTTGTTTGGATTTCTCAAACTCATCAGAATTGATAATTTGAGTAAGAACATTGTCAATAGATACTGAGCATTCATCGTATTCGGTTTTTGAAGAATATCAATTGCGATGATGCATTCACGCCCCAAAAAACCGACAACATCATCATTGGTGTGTCAATTTTTTCTTCGGGAATGTTTGCGGATTTTCATCCTTCGGGATCCACATGATTTGGCTTCTGTGCATATTGAAACCAAGACTCGTCCCTGTTACTAAAAAGCGAAACTTCTTGGATTGATACCACCCAATATAGAGAGGAGCTCTTTCGAAGATTGGACTCTAGATTTTTTTTGAACTGAATTAAGGTTGTGCGGAACCCAACGTGTATACGCTAGTTTGTAGTTCAAATAATTGTGCAGATAATAACTGACTGTTGTACGTGGTATCTTTGTCATCTCCTCTATCCTTCTGAGTGATGCTCTTGGGTCTTCATCTAGCGCTTGAAGAATTGCTTTGATTTTTCTTTGATCCGGCGATTTTTTGTCAATTTTTATGATGGGCGCCTTTTTGTTCATGAAGTGATACATCCGAACATGATACGTTACAGTGGAATAGCTAGGAGCATCTATACCGAAGCATTTTACCAATGTCTCGTAGATTTTTTTACAGTCTTTGCATTTTTTTGCAAGAGCGAGGATGTTTTCTTTATGATTCATTAAAAAAATGAAAAAAATCCCGCCAAAATTTCCCGCGAAACCGCCTCTTGTCTCAAAATTCATTTTATATCCCGGCATGGCGCCAAAATACAACATACTCATCATATACATATATTCATATTTTTTATTATATATTTATAATCAGCATATATCTCCTTTAATAGTCTCATATAGAGCGCTGTGCTAAACGCACCTTTGGACACCCTATATCTTAAGGAAATTCATGAAAATTCAAGAGGTTAGAAATGAGGTTAGATCTAACCATCTACCCGACATTCTCGTCAAATACAAAAAAATGAAGAATAACTTTCACTTTTTCATTATATAACTGTTATTTTTGACGAAGTGAAGATTTACACTTCGTCAAAAAAATCCCTGAAATCATATCTTTTATACAAAATAAAAAAATAAATAAAAATAAAACTAACTTTATTTTTTCTATCTTAAGGAAATTCATGAAAATTCAAGAGGGTAGAAATGAGGTTAGAAATGAGGTTAGATCTAACCTCTTCACCTAAATTATATTTTTGGTGTAAATTTCATTGACTGACTGACTGACGGCACAAAGTGGCTTAGCGAAAACATTAATATATAAAATTCATGAAAATTCAAGAGGGTGAAAAAACAGGTGAAAAAAGAGGTGAAATCTCACCTCTTCACCTAAATTATATTTTTGGTCCGGGAACAACTTTCTCTCAATTGGAGCTGTAGCATACTCTTTGCGTAAACGGTTCAGACCTTCTTCGAAGTCTTGGTCTCTCTTGGACTGAGATTGGAATTGCTGGGGTGGAGCTTGCTGGAACAACCAAGGGTTGAGGAAGTAAGGCATAGGCTGAGGAGGGTAGTTCGGGAAGCCTTGTGGTGGGTAGTAACCTTGAGGTGGAAATTGGTAGTAATTCGGAGGTACTTGCTGGAACTGAGGTTGCTGAGGAGACTGTTGTGGTTCTTTAGGTTCCTCTGGTTTGGGAATGGACTGGGTTGGTGGGACGTGGGACATTCGTTTGTGGCTTAACCGTCGGACCACAACGATAAAAATCTCTGCTACTAGCAGTACTGCTACTGTCAGTAGCAGTACTTTTACTGACAGTAGCAGTACTTTTTCTGACAGTAGCAGTACTTTTACTGACAGTAGCAGTACTTTTTCTGACAGTAGCAGTACTTTTACTGACAGTAGCAGTACTTTTACTGACAGTAGCAGTACTTTATCGTCGAAAACCCTCTCAAATTTTCCTTTTTACTGACAGTAGCAGTACTTTTACTGACAGTAGCAGTACTTTTACTGACAGTAGCAGTACTTTTACTGACAGTAGCAGTACTTTTACTGACAGTAGCAGTACTTTTACTGACAGTAGCAATGGTCGAGGTCGAACCTACCGACGAGGCAATTTACCTAATTGAAATTAACGAGCTTGTTAAAGACTTCCTCAGGCAGAATGTAAAAGGCAAGCTTGTTAACGGTTGGATAACGGGAAGGGCTGCCTTGAATCTCGAGACTTCGACCGGAATTCCAATTCAAATACCAGAAAACACTCCTTTCGACGACATAAAGCAAGCAAAGAAGGAAGCCATTATAAAGTTCTTTGCCAAGCGTCCTTGGATACTACTTCCAAACAGAGAGAACCTTTCCCAAGAATTCCCACATTTAAATTCAAATTCGAATAAAAATTTTTATTCATGCAATGTTTTATTTCTGTGCCGTCTTCAAGTATGCCCCAATATTTCCTTTTCGATATTACATGAACTTCGGTGAAAATTTTGTCCAATTTGAATTGACCCATCTTCTCACCGACTAAACCCATTTCAATGAGTTTGTTGTATCCTTCTTCGTTCGTCATGAGTGCGTCAATGTTCTCATAGTAAACCTTGACTTTCGATTTGACTTCCGAGAAGAACTCATTGTAGTTGTCAAGGACTGCCTTGGCGAACTGAGGGTAAGACCAATGTTCGACAATAGGTTTTAATGTGTTACTAAGGCCACTTTGACCTTGAGTGAATTCGTACTTCAAAACAAAAGGAGAAACCTTTCAACAAAGTTGTCGACCTTCTCATAATGTTTACTCTTCATCTCTTGAGGTTTCTTAATGGAATATCCCCATGTCGAATTCATAAGCAATTTGAGTGTCATTGCAAGTTTGGGGTTTGAAGCTTTCCTAATATCATACAGTTGTTGTATGACTTTTCCAACTGTATAGTTCCTTCCCGGGAACTCACCATCTTCGTTTGGAATTCCAGTCGGAATATATTGGACAAACCTCATGTACGCAGCGTTAAGGTCGACATAGTATATCTTTTCGTTTGAGTCGAACTTGTCGCAACCAATTGGTCCAGTTTGTGGAAATTCAAGTGAGTCTCTATCTTCTGAGAAACTTCTCCTGTTATCTCATAAACATCGTCGAAGCAACCTGTTTCATATAAAACCTTCTGACCTAACTCAGATGCTCTCCAATACAATTTGACGTTAATTGGATGTCTCAATGGAAGTTTGTTTATAGCATCTTGAAGTTCTTGCAACCTCATTGGAAGTTCTTCTGGTTCAGGTTGGTATCCGAACAAACCAACTCCTTGTGGAACTGTGTACTTCTTTTGTACTAGAACTTTGTCTGGAACAACTTTTGGTCTTGCTAACAATGAAAAGTTTGTTTCATCTTTTGGTACAAAAGTTTCTGTCAGCTTGTCATCTGGAATTGGTTCCAACAAACCTTTCTCGAAAAGAATGTTTACAGCTCTGACAATGTTGCACTTACTTTTACCAAAGAATGGGTTTGAAAGACTTTCGTTCAACATGAAGTGGTTGTGGACAATTACAATCTTCAACCATGGTAAATTGAACTCAACAACATAGTCGTCATGTGAAGAACCTTTAGCTGTAGGTATGTTGACTCGGATATTAACATTTGCCAACGGTGCAATTTTTGCCAATTGACCTCTGAGAATGTACCTTGTCTTCACACATGACTCAAGATACTTCATCTTCTCTTCTGTAACAA